ACCTACCTAAGCTGATAGCCCTAGCGGCTATTTCAGCGTAACCCTAACTTTAGTAGGTGAGCTCACGGGGCTCAAACCTGACGATGTTGCTAACACGAACCCTAGCAAGAGTCGTGCTTCGCAGAATCTACCACCGGATCGGAAACGCGACCCACTGAGAAGATCCGGCGAGAAACTCAGTGGGCTGTGTCTGAGAGTTAATTTACTCGTCGAGCCCTTCGTCGCAAGCGACGGGTTCGACGAGAACGGTGACCGGTGCTTGAAGTACCTAAAAGCACCGTTAGTGGATCGGGAGGATCCGAGATGACGTGTTTTGGGCGACGTCGACTGCTTTCCATTCTGTCCGCAGGATCGGGAATGTAGTTACCGGCGGCCACGATGAGAGGGTTCTCGTGTCGTGCCGCTTTATCGAAGTGGCGCATGGACGCCGACTGAAGATACTTACTGATGGACTCTAAGTCCAGGTCGTCATGGAGGTCGACGTTCCTGACGAACCACGGGGCTCCGACGGCTATCCTGCAAAAACGGGATTGAATAATTTGAAAGGATTTTAAGTGTATGCGGGCCGCGTGAGCGAACACTACACTTGCATAGGTCATGACGGGGCGTATGCAAGTTTTGTAGAGTGTCACCTTATTTCTAAGGGAAAAATGATGCAATGTTTACTCAATTAAAATATATAAATTGAGAATATTATAGAGAAACCATTGTATTGCTTGTACAGGCCATTACGATGTCGTTCCTGCCAATAAGCATTCTCATTATATTAGTTGTTAATCTAGCAAAAGCAGTCTATTATGACTCATGGGAAGGTACGCCTCTAACAGACGAGCAAAGACAGGCCTATGAAAATGCTAATATTTTAAGGTGAGAATATCGATTATACCTTAGGTACACTAACTTAAACTAAATGAAATTTGAATAAAGTTAAATTTTGTGTTATATAACACTTTTTTGTTTTAATTCTAAAGCGAAATTAACTTTCCTTATCAACTTCTTTTTTTTTTTTTTTCATTTCATCCTTAATTTTGTTTATATTCTTGAAGTATTAATTTCAAAACTACCTGTTTTCTAGCTTATAAGTAGCCTTTTGTCGGTATGTACCGTACATTTAATTTTAAATTTAAATATTTGAGTGACAGTGCATGATATTGAACGTTTTCTTAACTGTCAACTTTTAAGTGGCAATTTTGCCACTTAAAAGTTGACAAGTTGACGAACGTTGACAAGTTGACGAAGATCCTTTGATCTTCGTCTATACAGCAAAATTACATGTATTAAGTTTAAAGCCACGTTTAATAAAGAAAACATCGCGATGAATTTAAGTATACTGTAAATCTTTTCACTGTTACTCATGCTTCTGATTTGTATTTCTTTAATTTTAGTTTCTTTTTTTTTTTTGCTTTGTATTTACTATTTTATGTTTTCATTTTCAAATAAGATTATACTACCTAACTGCTACGTTCGATTTTATATAGGTATTCTATTTTGCTACTTTGATTTCCTTTTATTTTGTTATCTTTTTGCTTGTTTTGTCTCTATTATAGTTAAATTAATATTTCATAGACACTTTCCCAGTTGGTGGGTATTATTGATTTGTATAATTATATATTCATAATCGTATTGATATTTTGATTATATATATCTAATATATAAAATTCTCGTGTCACGGGATGCATGATTGAACTCCTCCGAAACGGCTCGACCGATTTTCGTGAATCTTAGCGTGCATATCGGTCAGGGTTGAGAATCAAACAACATCTATTTTTCATCCCTCTAAATGGTAAGGGTGGTCCACCCCTAACTTAAATTTTTTATTTTTTAGACAAAATTTTTTGTTTTTATTTTTTTATGATACAGCGTACAAAAATACATACAACCCTAAATTTTCACCCCTCTACGATCAACCCTTATTTTTTATTTGCTAATTAAAAACTTTAAATTTTTTTGTAAGAATTTTGTTTTTATTTTGTCATGACTTAGAGTAAAATATTTCATATTACTCTGAAATTTTCACCCCTCTACGATCAACCCCAATTTTTTCATCCCGATTTTTATTTTTTTTTAACTTTTATTTTTTTGGCAATTTTTTATTTTTTATTTTGTCATGACTTAAAATAAAAAAAAATATATATATATATATTACTCTCAATTTTCACTCGTATACGATCAACCTCTATTTTTCCATCCCGATTTTTATTTTTTGTATTCTATGCACAGATCCGCAATAAGGTTGCAAGATGGCAATCAAATATTATAATAATAATTGTAGTACGATAAATTCTTATTCTGAGTTTATAATTTCAAGTTCCTTTAATTATGATTTTTTTTTAAATTCAATTTGATCTCCCGCCCTCGCCGGTCGACTACTGATCAACTATCAATCGATCAGTTATCCCCGCTAGGTGTCACCACTCATTCAGCAAACATCACGTAGTAGGGATGAGGACGAAGCCGGTCTCCTGTCTTACTCACTATACATTTTTCAGCCATGTTTCTTTGGTTTTATTTGTGTATCAATCGTAGCTTGCCAGCCATGCTTTTTTGGTTTTATTTGTGTATCAATAGTATGTTCAGTAGGTCTGAGAATCGGCTACTATCTATTTTTCATACCCCTAAGTGATAAGGGTTGTCCAACCTAAACATTTTTTTTTAATATATTTTTTTGGTTATAATGAGGTATTATGTGGTTGAATGAGGTTTTTGAGAATTTTATATATTAGACTAGAATTTCCCTAGAAATCTTATTTAAGGCAGCACAATGTTAGCTGACCAGCTAGTATATATATATATATATATACTTATATGCTTAACTCAACAGATACAAGTGAATCTGAAACTTTTTATTCAACAAACAGCGACGACAGCGATATCAGTGTGCCTTCTTTAGCAGAAACATTGTCTTCACGGTTTTCTGGCGTTCCTAGGAATTTTAATGTCGTTCATATCAATGCCCAGAGTATTCCGGCTCATTTCCCTGACATGCTTGCAAGTTTTGATTCTAAGAATATTCATGCTATACTTGTGTCAGAATCTTGGCTTAAGCCATGTCTTCCTTCTACATCTTATACCATTCCTGGTTTTCAACTTTTTAGGAAAGACCGTATTACTGGCGGCGGTGATGGCGTTGCCATTTATATCCGTTCATATTTTAATTGTGCAGTCGTTAATGGATCGGCAAAGCCTACACCGCCATGTGCGGTCAACACACGAAGATCTTACTTGGTGTTTATTATTGTCGTTCGTCAAGTATAGATTTTTTTACTTCTTTTGTAACTTTGCTAGAAAACATAATGCCTTCATATACTCATAGCATTATCATGGGTGACTAAGACTAAGTCAAAAATTCTTCTGCTGTGCAGTTTTAACGGTATGGATCTTGAAAGACTTCGAGAAGATGCAGGCAGCATTGACTAGACTGCTTTGACGTGTTCTACCTCAATCAATGAGAAAGTTGATCAGTTCAATCCAAAATTAACTGATCTATATAACAAGCATGCACCATGTCGACCAGTGAGAATTAAAACATTTGCCAGCGCCGTGGCTTAGTAATGAAATTAAAAGTCTCTTAACCAAGAAGGCGGCTGCTAAACTAAAATATCAGAAAAAACCTACCCTCGAACATAGCACAAATTATCATCGAATCCGCAATCAATGCAACAGGGTGTGTAGGGATGCGCAACGCCAATATATCCATAGTGCTGTCGAAAATGGAGATTCAGCTAAAGTCTGGAAATTTCTTAGATCACTGGGGATTGGAAAATCACAACATAACACTCATTTATCTCAGTCGAGTATTGATTTAATTAATCAACATTTCTGTGCGTCGTCCCATTTTGATGGGGCAAATAAATCAAAAACATTAAATCATATTTCATCTCTTCCAGTCCCAAATTGCTCTCCATTTGTTTTTAATCACCTAACGGCTTGTGATGTTAAGCGGAGAATATTATCTATAACAATTAACTAATACAGTCGGAAGTGACTGTGTCGCCCGTAATATGATCCTTCCTGTCCTGGACCAAATCCTTCCCGTTATCTGTCATATCCTCAATGACTCATTATCTAGCGGCAACTTTCCAAAGGCTTGGAAAGAAGCACAAATTACAACACTGCCAAAAAAGCCGAATCCTATATCCTTTTCAGAATACCGTCCAATTTCCATTCTACCGTTTCTTTCAAAGGTTTTAGAGCGCTTGATTCACAACTAGCTTAGTGAGCTTCTTACAAGGAACCAGCTGTTAAGCCCTTACCAATCCGGCTTTCGTCCTGGTCATAGCACGGTCACAGCCCTGGTGACTATTACGGATGCCATCAGACTTGGCATGGAGAGTAGGAAACTGACGGTGTTGGCATTGCTGGATTTCAGTAATGCATTTGGTACCGTTGATTTCGACATACTTCTAGCCATCCTTAGCTCCATTAACATATCTCCGACCGTGGTTGGTTGGTTTCGAAGTTACCTGTCTGGTCGCCGACAGCGTATTCACTGTGAGAGCGCCTATTCTTCATGGTGTGAAACGCACGTAGGCGTACTGCAGGGTGGCGTTTTATCTCCTTTACTCTTTTCAATTTTTATAAATTCTATAATATTTCTATGCAACTTACTTCTTCTTACCACCTGTGCGCAGATGATCTACAGATCTATACTCAAATTTCTTTATCAGAACTGACCAACGCGATGAAGACGCTGAATAATGATTTATCAATATTATCCCGTTGGAGTAATTCGCATGGATTGAGGGTGAACCCGTCGAAGACACAGGTCATTGTTGTCGGTAGTTCAAGAATGTGCTCGAAAGTGAAATGGTCGCAGCTTCCGGCTATTTTATTCGATGGCGTACAAATTCCTATCAGTGATACTGTGAAACATTTAGGAACCTTAATTGATAAAAACCTTTCATGGAACGCACAGATAAAAGAGGTTAGCCGGAAGGTGTTTGCATCAGCTGGATCTTTGAGACGGTTACGAAATGTTCTTCCAACTGCCACTAAAACTGCGCTTGCACAATCTCTCCTTCTTCCAATTCTTGACTACGCCGATGCCAGTTATACTGATTTAACTGAAACACAGCTTGATAAACTTGAGCGGCTACAAAATTTCTGCATAAGATTCATATTTGGTTTACGGAAATATGATGATGTATCTGATTTTCGCACTAAACTCAAGTGGTTACCTATTCGCCTTCTCCGCAATATTCATGTCCTTTCATTAATTACTATGTTGCACTCTCTTTAACCCCCATACCCATATCTCAAAGAACGTTTCGAGTTCCTAGGTGATACGCATAATTTTTCCCTGAGATCATCGGATAGCCTGAGACTAAAAATGCCGGCGCATTCATCATCATTCTTTGATAATTCATTCACCGTCCAGGCGGTTCGATTGTGGAATGCTCTGCCGGATGCAGTGAGAAGTGCTCCAACTTTAAACTGCTTTAAAAGAATTGTGAAGGAACACTACTTATCTGCTTAGGTCTATTTGTTTCCCGAGAGGGCTGGTGGTCGTGGCGCCGACGACCCCCGGTCCGATGTCCCGAGGGGAAGGGTGATGAAAGAGATGTGCTCCGCACTAAACGCTTCACTTTCCCCCCTTTGCCTTTTCATGAGTTCTGTCTCATGCGAGGTTTGGATGCTGGTTGTTGAGCGACAGGAGGTTTTAGTCGGTTCAACTCCGACATGCCCCGCCCTCCATACCCAGTGGGGGCGGAAGTCCGGTGATTTCCTCCTGACAAAAAAAGGGCTGTTTGTTTTATTTCCATACTGTTGATTTATTATGTGTATGTAAGTATACTAGAGGTCCCGCAGTAGTCGAAATTCGACTATAATTAATTGTAATTGTAAGTTTGTACACTATTATGATTGTATTTTATACTTCTATAATCACAAATTTCGCCAAGACTACACTATAACATTGTGCACTTCTTCTCAATATTCTCTATAAATGTGGAAAATTTCATACTCCTCCGTCCGCGCCATTTTCGTAAAAAGGGATACAAAGTTTTTGCTTCATGTATTAATATATAGATTATTAGTATGTATTTTATGTAAGTATGTATATTGGTGATAATTCAGTTAGCTATATATTTCATATTATATTATGTAAACGGTATATCTGTTCTTGTATGTATCTATTTTCTATAATAATGTATTGTCTTTAGTACGCCGCAACATACCTGCTTTATTTTTATATTTTCCAGAATTTCTGTAAATTAAACGGTTGTCTGGAAGAGATCATTTTTAGCAATAAGACCGCCTATTGTACAAATGTGTCTGCTTTTTGACTGTTTTTTGAATGTAAATCGTGTTTTGGTGTGCCATAAAGTGTCTTCTCTCTTTCTCCCTCTCTCTAAAAACTATTTTTTTTTAAATAATTTCTAATTTTAAAAAAGCGACTGTCACAGCAAATCTCTGTCTATATAGCAACTCGCCCTAGATTCGTTTGGTTATCACGTTCAGGCAAACGTTCAGTTGTGTCCTTAGACATTTTTTTAATTACAAAATATGATTACAAAATATACCTTCAAATCGCGACAGAACAGCTGTTGGGCTAAAAGAGAGAGAGAGAAGGAGAGCGTATGCTTTATTATATTAAAAAAAATTAAATTGCGACATTAAATACAAAAAAAGGACAATTGGCGGTTTTATCGCTAATAGGCTTATTACACTTGGCTGAATTCAGTCGCTACTGAATTCAGCCAAGTGTAATAGCATTAAGTAAGTTAGTCTACTGAATTCAGTAGCAAGGATGTTTTCTGACTGACTGAATCATTTAGAAGCCTAATTAGAAACGCATTTAGGAAGGTGTAATCGCATTTAGTTACTGAATGGTTTCATTCAGTCGTCCCATAGCTCTCCGTGTGTAAGAACGTTTTACTTTGTTTTTTGCTTCCGAATAAAAAGTATTAATTTCGGTCGCCTTTATTTAATGTGCCAGATATTTATAAATAGCCCGACATGTTTCAGGGATAGTTTTTGTCATCAGGGGTTGGGATATTGAAGAACTAAATTTTAAATCTTGATAAGAATTTCCTATTGCAAGAAATCTTAATGTTACAACCAATCTTTCTTTTGGACTTATACTATCGTAGGATTAGATATGTAATAGTTATATAATAGATATATAATGGACTGTCGTAGGATAGTATCCTGCTTTTGAATAAACAGTGTAACAAGGTTTAATATTAGGTCAAACGAGATCGAATCCATTTATAGATAATTTTTGAAGTCTACTGGTTCTAAATCACTCATAATGTTCATATTTGCTAACATTCCGAACAGCATTAAATATTTCTTCACCGATATTCATATTTTTTTTGAGAAATTTAAACAAAAAACAAAAAAAAAGCAAAAAATTTGTTGTTGTCTAGACAATACTGGGGCCATCTTCTTACACACACGACACGTCTTACTTCGTCGCGTTTAAACTGACAATTGATTCAGTAATTGAATTTAGAACAGTGTAATCAGAAGCTTCTAAAGGACAATGCCCAAAAGTGGGCCAACTTTATGTCAAAACTATTTGTACTTGAAAAACTATGCCCTGAATTCAGTCGACTAGATTCAGGCAAATGTAATAAGCCTTTAAGAGCGATCCCTAAGACCATCAAACATATAACACTATTGTTCTCAAAATATGTTAAAAACTGAATTGTTAGAGGTTAAGTTTGTTTTTCAGTACATGTGCGAATAATATTCAGCCTTGTGACGAGACCGAATGGAGGCGTACAGATGGTAGCTGCAATAACCTTTATTATCCTACTCGGGGAGCATACCATACACCAACTTTCAGAATCCTGCCCGCCGATTTTCGTGAAGGTATAAATTTCGTATTCAATTCAATATTAAAAATTTTCAGGACTACTGATGTATTAAGAATGTAAACAACACTGAAAATTTTTCTTCCAGATTTTGAGCCCAGGCTGACCAGTTCAGGGAAGGAGTATCCTCTAGCCAGACATATCAAGAACAATCTATTGACAGTAGGATTGGCTACAGATGCAAAATTAACGCAGTTATCTGCGTATTACATTGAGTTTATGGCCATTGATGTTGTCTCCGCACATGACATCTGTAAGATCCACATATCCCTAAATTAAGAGTGGTGCAGCGATGGCAAATTTATTGGTTGTATTGTGTAGAATAGTACCATACTGTCTCTTCTCGTAAATGTTATAAAAGGCGACTAATCATATCAACGGAGAATAAATAGGCTGCAGTCTTCGATTTGCTGCAGATTTCGAATAGGTACCATCATCCTGCCTAGGTCTGCCACAAACTACCACTTGGGTGGACTGAGAGTGACCTTACACCAATACAAAAATTCATAAGTTATGATTTTAAGATTTTAGTAAACTCAAAATAAGTAATTGAAGTATTATCATGATAGATGTAATTTTTTCAACGTAAAAGTTGTTCTGTGAATACAATATTGAGTACGTATTTACCTCCTAGATGTAGTAGTGTCGAACATTGGCACAGTTGAATATTCGTCATAAGATCACGAAAACTTCGTAAATTATGTTTTCTACCTAGTTACACCCAGAATTAAAGTTTGATCAAATCTAATTGGTACAATATCTTTCTTACTCTTCAAGCCGGAATGCATTGAATCCAATTGCAGGTATTGCATGAATGCACCATAATGTTTCACACCGGAAGTGGTCAGGTTGATGGTACCTAAATGAGAGCTCTTACTTCAAGAACAATCATTCTAAATTTAACACGATAAAGAAATTTATTCCAAAATCGTAATAGCAGTAATTATCGTAAAGCCAATTTCAGTGAATTACATCGTGGATAGGCCTTACTGCTGTAAAGAAGAGGGAAAATCTGATCCTATGTGTGCTCCTAACTTCATACCAGAATTCGACCCGGTTCACCGATTTTCGGGGCACAAGTGCTTTAACATGACAATACCTATGACGTTCCAAAATCTGGGATGCATTGAGAATGGCACGACTCCTAGTCGAGTAAGTAAATATGTAACCGTCAAGGAAAACATCAGTTATCATTAGGTACTGGTCTACCATGGTTGCTAATAAAGAAAACATTATTCTAAAGGCGGAAGGGGTGACACTGGGCTTCCAAAAACTTTTTTTTTTCTCCACAATGTTTTAGTACATGATAATGTTATATTTGGAGCTTTGAACACGGAATTTAACACCAAACCGAATATAGCACGTAGATTTTAAATATTAAAATAAAAAAGTACGAAAAGTACTGTGCTATTTCAAAGGCGAAGCTCCACACGGATGTCCTCCTGGATTAGGAGGAAGAATCTCACACCCCCCGATTACTCTCTATAGACAACTCATACTCTGGGCCAGCAAGGTCAAGTACTGGGGCGTCACCCTGGATGCATCGATGACATTCCGCCCGCATATAAAATCAGTCGGCGACCGTGTCGCGTTTATTCACGGCATACTCTACCCCGTGATCTGTAAGCGGAGTAAAATGTCCCTTCGGAACAAGGTGACACTTTACAAAACCTGCATAAGGCCCGTCATGACTTACGCGAGTGTGGTGTTCGCTCACGCGTCCCGCACGCATATAGACACCCTCCAATTCCTACAGTTCCGTTTTTGCAGTTTAGCTGTCAGAGCTCCGTGGTTCGTGAGGAACGTTGACCTACACGACGACCTGGGCCTCGAATCAATCCGGAAATACATAAATTCAGCGTCGAAACGGTACTTCGATAAGGCTATGCGTCATGTTAATCGCCTTTTCGTTGCCGCCGCTGACTACTCCCTGAATCATGCAGGAGCTAGTCACCGTCGACGCCCTAGACACATCCTTACGGATCCATCAGATTCAATAATAACCTTTGCATTAGACGCCTTCAGCTCTTAGATACCTCGGTAACCGTACTCGTCGAACTCAACAAAGAGTTCGAGAGACGTGCAGCCTAATCCATGCATCAGCGCGCTGAGTTTCTCGCCGGATTTTCTCAGCGGGCTGCGATTCCGATCTGGTAGTAGATTAATTCCCGAAGCAGTTGCTCTAGAGTTGTTAGGTCTCCTTCGAAGGCGCTCCGGCAGCTGTTAGCAAATCCTACCCCTCCTGGCTGAGCCTTTGCTCGTCCACCTGTCCTGGTGAAACTGAAAGGCCTCCGGGCCACCACTAATCCTTCACTCATAAAAAAAAGGATGGGGATCCGGCAATTTTCTCCTGTGGAAAAAAAAAACCTAACATATAACAGCGTTTAATATTTAATTATTTACTTCATTTAATTTCATTTATTCACTAGACTATGTAATTTTAGTTACATAGGTATTTTTTATTTCAGATCGATTTCACTACGACATTCTTTGATTTATCTAATATTTACGAGTTTTCTGCTGGTTCTTTAAATCAAGTTAGGTCTTATGAAGGTGGACAGTTGAAATACGAAGTGGTTAATGGCAGACAGTTCCCTAGCGACGCCAGCGATAATACCACTTGTTTTATCAAGCAAGCCATTAGTACAGGGTGCAGTAGAAATGGTAATGAATTTTTGATTCTTCATTTAATGGCTTGAATAAGAAAGATAATATATTTTATTTTATTCTTCAGTACCAAATGGAGTATTGGGCAGTAATCTGTTTACAACATGGTTCTGGCGCTTCCATAACTATGTGGCTCAGCAACTAGCAAATCTCAATCCTAGCTGGGATGACGAACGACTCTTTTATACTGCGAGAGATATTGTTGTCGCTTTTCATCTGCAAATGTTCTATTACGAATTTCTGCCTGAAATTTTGGGTAAGTTCTATTAAATTTAAACAAACTTTTTTTATTTACTCACTTTCAGATTTTTTACTTGTTTTATTAGGTTATAGATTTATGTCTGTTTGTATGTAACTCAATCTTTAAACGTCATTATCACCGCTTCAAAACGCCCGATTAACTAGAAATGTTGTCCAACTATTATTGACCAATGACAACACAATAGTTTTATCACTTAGCTCTCATATCTTGACCAGCATCAACAGGATAAAAAAAGATCTATAAGGAAGTCTCTATAGGGGGGAAATACACGAATACACATTTCGATTTTTATAAATACAGATTAAAGATGATTCCGTGATATGAATTTTTCAATTGATAATAATACTACTAATATAGTATAAGGCAATTAGCCCTATACAGGGTGTCACACAAAGGGTATATCAAGCTGAAAACTGTATGTAGGTGATGTTGTATGAGATTAATCGATACGAGGAAAACATAAGTTCTTAAGTGAATAGTTTCGGAATAAAAAGCACTTAAACATAACGAACAAACTATTCTTCTGCCAACCCTTGAATTATGTTTTTGAATGAAGGTACGTAATATGATTCGCAGTAAAAAATAAGGGCTGCCAGATATCAAAAGATTTGAATTTGTATCGGAAGTGGAAGCAAATTATGAACACTTGTCGTACGAATGAAATCCGCACACTGCATACGTTTTTCCTTTGAGGGATTTCGCCGTCGTCACTAGTCGTTGTTTGTATTTAGGGTTGTCATCGTGAACAGCTGATAAAATATATATTTTTTGTAAGAATTTACTAATTACGACTAAGATTTTTTTAAACATCATAAAGTGATATTCGTTGTGATACTATTGCCACGTTTCGGCTTGATATACTCTTGGTGAGACATCCCGTATATAGAACAATAATTGTAAATCAAATTTAATTTGTAGGTAAAGATCACATGATTGAAGATGAAATAATATTAGGTAACTCAACGGGCTTCAGGGACATTTACGATGAAACGGTTGAACCTCAAATTGCTCTAGAGTACGCATACGCAAGCAGGTGGTTTCATACAATACAATACGGCGCTCAAAAGTAAGCTTTAATAACTACAAAATAGATTCGAAACAAAAAATAACGAATAATAGTTTTTGCACCCTTTAGTGCAAATATCTTATACTAAAAATATTATCATATACCTTTGTATATGATTAGAAATCAAGTAGTTGCAGTAACGTCAAGGTCAACGGCTTCGAAGGAGCGTGGGCGATATATAAAACATATAATTATATTGTGTTTATCTTCTAAAATCAATAATATTCTGTTTGGTTCCATTTTTATTAAATAAATTGAATATTTACTAAAAATTAACCAATTAATTAATAATTAATATATCATAATATATATAATGTGTCACGTTATTTGTCCGCGATGGACACCTATACTACTGAACCGATATTAACTTTTTTTTAAATATGTGTTTTGTTCCAACTTAGGTCATAGGATGGTTTTTATTTCGAATAATGGTCGAAATATTTATTAATTAGCAATAAAATGATTGCTCTAGTTAAAACTAGAGCAGGTAGGTAAGAAATTTTATTTGATAAATTTTAATATTGTTTTTTGTGTACTGATGTGACAGCACGTACACACCTATTTGATAAAAAAGCAAGCTTTGTGATTCTTGCAGATTCTTCTTAGTAGTGAATCTGTGTCTCGTATTGGTGATAAAATTACCGAGATTGGATTTCCCATTAAATTTAGTTTGTTGTTGGCATAAAAGTTTCAGCCATCAATAAAAAATATTGTGTAATTACAAATACAATTAAATTTTAAGAAATAAATTTCGAAAATCTTTTCATTTCAGACTTTTTGATAAAAACTTTAATTTCATTAAAGAGGTACCGATGGTGAACTTCTCTCTGAGCGTCCAGTCTTTAGCTATAGGTGACATAATGTCGACCGTAACACGAGGATCGTATTATCAAGCCACTGGCAAAGCTGATTCCGCCGTAGATCCTGATGTTAGTATCGTAATGAGTTATTCAAGTCGTCGTAGCCTAAATAATAAGACGTCCGGTGCATTCGTATTAAGTGATGCAACTGTACCGGTGTTATTATTTAACTTGCGTTATTACTAGTGGTGGGATGTATTGGGAGCTTGTGCGGGTAGGTATTACAATCCTGTCTATTTCGGTCGTGAAGCAGTAATGCGTTTCCATTTGAAGGATGATGCAGTTGTTGTACTGTAAAAACTGAGGGCATAGAACTTATGTTTCAAGGTGGATGGCGGCGTTTACGTTGTTGATGTTTAAGGGCTCCGGTACCCACTTAATACACGGAGGGCCGTGAGCTCGTCCACCCACCTAAGCCATAAAGAGTGCTCTGAGAAATTTTTCGAGATGATCCGATTATCTCGTTTTTTCCACCGCACCCTCCACTTGAGTAGAGTTCATCCATATTACCTGGAGCCACTGCGTTCATCCACAGTGCATTTCCAGAGATCTTTTTACCGCGTACCATCCAGCTTTGGAATGAGCTCCCTTCCATGATGTTTTCCGAGCGCTATGACATGTCCTTCCTTCAAACGAAGCTTGTGGAAAGTACTTATCTAAATCTAAAAAGCCTAATGAAATTATCGTTAATTCTTTCATGGAAATGTTAAAATTTGTTTACAGATATCAGATATCGGCTTAGGACCTGTGCAAGAAGTTTTCGATATACCGACAACAGATTTAGCTAAGGGCAGATATTTTGGACTACCTTCTTACACAAAATACAGAGACTTCTGCTCGGGCTATTCAAAAAAACATGTTGATTTCGACGATTTAACGGACCACATTAGTGACGAGGTAAGAAAGTACTATGAGTTTTTTAGTTGAATAGGTGGGCAATCGTGATCGCGACTAATATACTCTAATGTTAACATTGGCTACGCACTGTTAGAGATCAGCAGAATAATGACCGCACCATTCTGATCTCTAATGCCTAGTTCCAATTTTAGTTTCAAGGGTAAGCAAGCTATACACAGTACAGCAACACGGACTTTGATTCCCTGCCTATTTCTGCCAAGCAGTATTGCGTTTCGGTTTGAAGGATGGGGCAGCCGTTGTAACTATACTTGATACCTTAGAACTTATATCTCAAGGTGAGTGGCGCATTTACGTTGTAGATGTCTATGGGCTCCAGTAACCACTTAACACCAGGTGGGCTGTGAGCTCGTCCAACCATCTAAGCTATAAAAAAAATAAAAAAACAGCAACTTAATAATTAATTATTGACTAAAAAATTGCTGGTTCCATTATTTTAAAAAACTATAAGGAAATTTCAGCACATAATGATTTTAAGGCTTTGCAGTTTTTAACTACATTATTAGAGTTTGCATTGATACCGGTGAATTAATAAATTGCTTGAACAATTAACAGTGTTCATAGAGAAATTAGAACATTTTTTAAACTCCTGTTAGCACTATCCAAGCAGAATATTTCAAAATGAACTAGCTTTTCGTGAGACAATAACACATGCTAGTAATATCTGAAAATGGATGGCACCACATGTATTATTTTCGTAACATTTTTAATGTATAATATTTTATCATATAAATTTTAATAAATGCGAATAAAAGTAGCCTATGCATGCTTTCAGTAATATAAGAGATGTAATAATTCATTACCTTGGCCTATTGTTCAATGACATTTGAAACATAATTAATATTTATTGTAAATGTTTAACCAGAAAATACAACAGCTCAAACAAGTTTATGAGACGGCCGAAGACATAGAACTTATGGCAGGTATTTGGGTAGAGAACGTGACAGAAGGAGCTCAAGTTCCACCAACTGTACACTGTTTGTTATCAAACCAACTTAAAAGAAGTATTATCATTGACAGACATTGGTATGAAAGGCCTAATCGCCCACATGCCTTTAATTATGGTGAGTTTCCTTTTCTTTTCTTTTGGGGTGAGTGCCACATGTCTTCATTATTCACTATCATATCATGTTGTATAAGCATCATGTTGTATAAGCATCGTCATATCAGCATGAACTTTACTTTTTTTTTCGATCCTAAAAAATACTCATCACACTTTCTTTAGATAGGTATAATATTTAAAAAGGGGATTTTTAACGTATATTACAACAAGTAGCTATAAAGGTATTTAGAAATATATTTAACATAAAAATAATTGCAGAACAACTTCAAGAAATTAGGAAAGCTTCTTTAGCGCTTCTGCTATGCTATGTGGGAGATGACGTTGAAAAAATCCAACCCAAGGCTTTCACTATCGTTGGAAAAGGGTAAGACATTTTCTGTTCTTTTTTGTTTTTAGATGCACAAACGATCTCATGCCCATATCCAAACCAGCCGACGGGATAAAGCCGCCGTCGCTTGATATATGCCTTGTCGGATCTACCGGATTCACTCTTGCTGCTTTTAAGCTTTTTAAGTCACTGTTCTCGTCAAATTCGTTGATCACGGCGTTTCGAGTTCGACGAGGGAACTAACGCATAGACATAGCCCATTGAGTTTCTCGCCGGATTTTCTGAGTGGGTCGAGATTCCAATCCGGTGGTAGATTCTGCGAAGCACTGCACTTCCTAGGGTCAGTGTTTGCAAATTCTCTCAGGTTGAGCCCGTGAGTTCACCTACCTATCCATGCGTAGCGAATAGGTACAAAAAAAAGATTTGACCCTGAACGAGTTCCGTGGTTAGCGGACCGCATCGACATCAGAGTGAAAGCCATCACACAAACCAAAGTTTTGTGGTAGAGAAATGGTCAGGTACGTTGTAACGTATCCGGGCTGGCTTTCGATACTCACTGTTAAATTGCACATAAAAGTAAATTTCGAGGAGTACGATAAAGGTTGAAGGTAGTTCAGGAGAGGTCGCTATTACCTTAAGCGAGTTAAGGGAATACAGGCAGATTGACAAATTGTTGCTGAACAAAATACACAACAGTTTCTTTATTGTTATCAAATTTACATCAATTGACATATTTATTAGGTTAAACGTTACCGCCATTCTATATATTTTACATAATCATCATCTATTCGGCCCACTGAAAGCCCATAGACACGACAATGTGAACGGAAAGAAACACTATAGGACATCAAGTCAAAACCGTTTTTGCTTTGATCCCATTTTATTTCTGCCTTCGAATTGCGGCAGGCTTGGCAGTAGGTAATGAAAAAAGGCATGAAATTGGTAACCAACCCGTGATAACAATACCAAGGAAGCTAGGTATAAAAATTTGATAAAGTGTTGATGGGAAAATAAAATCAATTTTGCGGACGATCAACCTCTAAGACTTCTCTCTTGAACTTATTCGGAGAGTGACTAGTTGAAAGCGGTGGTCTTCACAAGATCTCACAATCTAGAGACGCTAAGAGAACGAATTGAATTTCGTTAATTTGTACGTCATTTTGTGGTTTCAGAAACAATTTGGTCAGCTGTGATGAAATTCCGGCTATAGACTTTACACACTGGAAAGAAGAATTGTAAACTGAAAATATCTTTTAATGTAATTGGCAGACAGCGAGTTCATGACTTAACTCATTTTATGTAGTAATTTTGAAACCAAACGTGAATGCGTGTGGAAATATGAGGTCTAAGACTGCACCATCTAATATAAAATTAATGTTACCATTATACTATCAGTTTGATTTTATACGATTCATTTACGGAAAATAAAGCGTGGTTAATTCATTAGTAGTTATCAATTCATTTATTGTTGATAATGGGCACTGGTAATCAAATCTGGTCGGTCATGGGATCGTCGTCTGCCTATACATATAATAAACATTTTTGACTTTCTTTCCATTCAAAAATCAAGACTATTGATGTTAAATAATATAAATTTGAATAAAAAAATAATTAAAAATGATGAATGCTTTGTAATAACAGCAACGATTCAATTGTATTGAGAAAGAGTCAGAGTGCCTCATGATTAGGCGTCAGCTTAATCTGTATACTCATTATGAAGAAGAATTAAGCAGAGCACGACACACAAGGCACATTTGTTTCAACCTCCAGTATTCGTTCCAATTTCAGTTGACGGCGATGCAGCGAGGTTTTTGGTTCCTTTGTAGCTGTCTAATGTTATGTAATAAATCATGTTCATTCCCTTGTAACTTACAATAAAAAATACAGAATGATTAATAGAAAGAAATGTTGAATTTGATGGTTTTATGAAACATACTTATATATATATCAATAAAGATTTGAATTTACTATGTTTTTCTTTTTCTACCTATTCTAATAACCTCGAGGGGTTATTCTAGATTCGCCAAATCAGTAGGTGAGCTCACGGGGCTCAATGGGTTAGTTTGCTCGCCGAGCCCTTCGTCGCAAGTGACAGGTTCGACAAGAACGATGACCGGAACTATGATTCCTTGTAATCTTTGTATATATGATATAGTTAATAGCTGTAGATGAAATGAGTTGTAAATCCAAATTATTCTCTTTTAGTAAATTTTTTTAGATTCGGAATTGAAGCCCACTATTTTAAATTAGGTTGAACGAAATCAAATGAATCCCAGTGAATTACATTTTTTGGCTTTTACCATAAAGGTTCTTGTTACAATGGACATTTTGTAATTATTATACATAATAAGGTCAAAAATAAAGGTGTCGTAAATACTTGGCCTGTAAATACTTTGAAATTAGTTTCATGCGATGTATCACAATAAAGAAGTTCCCGCTTCTTAGAATGTAATTTATGAATTCCACAGTTTGCGGTGTTATACTTATAAATCACCTGCTTCTTGTTTCAGAGCCGTTTCGGAATATTATTCAACACTTGCGTTATACGGATTTTCCCGTGGGGATTATGTAAATTGAGATAAAAGGGTTAGTATTTGAACAAAAACGTTGTGGTCTTGTAGCTGCGGTGCGACAGTATATATTTTGAATTATGAGTGATTCCTGAAAACGTCTAGCTATGTGACAATTCAATATAATAATCTATATATATATTAATACGTGAAGCAAAAACTTTGTATCCCTTTTTACGAAAATTGCGCGGACGGAGGAGTATGAAATTTTCCACACTTATAGAGAGTATAGAGAAGAAGTGTACAATGCTAATATCTTTTTAATATAATGCATAAAAGATACATTAAATCAATAAAGAAAACATTACACACACTACATACCATGTATTTGACGCACACACGTATGCATACTATTTAATGTCAAGCTTTTGTTCTTGACGTCTGTTGTCAAATTGAGAATGCATTAAATATTGATTGTCTTTGTTAATATTTTTTATCGTGTAGTCTTGGCGAAATTTGTGATTATAGAAGTATAAAATACAATCATAATAGTGTACAAACTTACAATTCTAATTAATTATAGTCGAATTTCGACTACTGCGGGACCTCTAGTTTTATTAAAAATGTATAGGGTTGAACTTTGTGAACGGAAAAAGAAATAAAAAACGAGTTCATATTAAATCCGGTTAATTTAATTCATAATTTATTGCAACACCGACTAGATAGGCCCTGTTTATCGTTGGCTTATAAAATGTGTTTACGACAATTTTCCAGGACCGGTATTAAAACTGTACATATAGACTGAATTAATTATTTACAGAAAATGTCGTGTAGCCAAAGAATCTTTCGAAAAGCATCTCTTTTGAANAACGAATCTTTTGGTTATATTCAAATTTTTCAGTATGTTAAAAATTTGAATTGGCGCGTAACCGCAACGATGCAACGCAATAACTGCAACACGGTCTTCTTTAAGCGTCCACTCCATATTTAAAAATGAGTAAAATTCTAAAAGTATACATTTTTATTTTCATGAACCATTCGAAATTCGAATTCAATAAACTTTTTTGTGGCCAGCATTCTAAAAGAAAAGTTTTTACTGTGTGACAATACTTATGACCTGACTAGTTACATAATAAGGTCAAAAATAAGGTGTCGTAAATACTTGGTCTGTACATACTTTGAAATTAGTTTCATGCGATGTATCACAATAAAGAAGTTCCCGCTTCTTAGAATGTAATTTATGAATTCCACAGTTTGCGGTGTTATACTTATAAATCACCTGCTTCTTGTTTCAGAGCCGTTTCGGAATATTATTCAACACTTGCGTTATACGGATTTTCCTGTGGGGATTATGTAAATTGAGATAAAAGGGTTAGTATTTGAACAAAAACGTTGTGGTCTTGTAGCTGCGGTGCGACAGTATATATTTTGAATTATGAGTGATTCCTGAAAACATCTAGCTATGTAACAATTCAATATAATAATTTTATTAAAAATGTATAGAGTTGAACTTTTTGAACTGAAAAAGAAATAAAAAACGAGTTTATATTATATCCGGTTAATTTAATTCATAATTTATTGCAACACCGACTAGATAGTCCCTCCGGTTTATCGTTGGCTTATAAAATGTGTTTACGACAATTTTCCATGACCGGTATTAAAATTAACATATAGGCTGAATTAATTATTTACAGAAAATGTCGTGTAGCCAAAGAATCTTTCGAAAAGCATCTCTTTTGAAGAAGAATTCAACATCAATCAGAATAAGTTGAAGGGATGATAAATTCATACAAGACATTGTTTAAGTTCTATGAATAATAAGAAGGCCAGTACTTTGTGGATTTTCCGGTTCAGCCGGGATATTTCGAAGTTTTCTTATTTTGGCCCGTAATCCTAACTTCACCGAGAGGTATTTTATTTTTGGAATGTTTTTTATTTTCCCGTGACTTCAATTTTATTGTGGATATATCTAAAGAGTTTCATTATTTCTGACTTGTTACAGTTTTTCGATGTATTTTCTATCTTGTTCACAATAATCTATTTATTACAAATGGTATATGTTCATCGTTATTTTTAATAATAGGGATTACTTTCTATGATATATACTCGTTGTAATTAGTGAGTAATGTTATTTCAATTATTAAATAAAATATTTAATAATCTTCAAAACACATAAGATTTTTTTTTTTTTTATTGCTTAGATGGGTGAACGAGCTCGCAGCCCACCTGGTGTTAAGTGGTTACTGGAGCCCATAGAAATCCACAACGTAAATGCGCCACCCACCTTGAGATACAAGTTCTAAGGTCTCAAGTATAGTTACATAAGTATGTAACATAAGTATGTAAGGTGTGAATTTCTATTGTAAATGAACTCGTCTTACCCCCAATTTTGAGCTTGAAATTATTAACTAGGCGAACATAAACTAGATGGTTGCATAATGAACCGGAGCAATATGCATCTAAGTTTGGTTTGTATACATATTGATGAAGTTCCCGCCCGATATTGTGGAGAAACCACAGCGTTCCCAATTCAATTAACTCTGGTATTTGGTAGGACACTATATTGTTGTATTCCAATAACCTAGTTTCACCTGTTCATTAATTAAAAAGATTCATACAGATAAAATCTATACTAATATTATAAAGAGGAAAGATTTGTTTGTTTGTTTGTATTGAATAGGCTCTGAAACTACTGAACCGATTTGAAAAATTCTTTCACTTTTCTGAATCCACACTATTCCCCAATTAACATGGGCTATAATCTTTTTTGAAAAAAATTAGCGATCTTTAATAAAAGTCTAATAATGTAATCCAAGGTGTAAAAAATCATTTAAAATATTCTTTACATTGCGTGCCTTGCGAAAACTATTGATGATAGAATAAAATAATATACTACGACTTTGTAGAACACATTATTATTTACAAAAAGTGTCGCGACAGAATATGTTTAACTATTATAGTTATGCCGCAATAAGCGTTCTTTTATGTTTAAAAATAAAACAATGTCGAAGATCGTTGAAATTTTTGGTAAAGACCCGAGCGGAGCCGGAGCGGGCCGCTAGCTATGTATAAAATTAGAGATAATACATTTATATAAAATTATAGAAATAATAATATTTATTTACTTTCTAATTTAGAGATGGTTTTTCCAAAATTGTTTGTTAAATCAGTTTTTTTAACTTACCTAGTATCGCACACCTGCGACATCATCGATGTCAAATTAAGTTAATTTATTTCAAGAACGACAGCCTATTTCAGTCGTTTTACTTTAATTCGAACGATAAACTGCAACGTCAGGGTAGAATTAGCAATCAGCTTTAAATGGTTAATTAATTCTGTTGATAGCCTTACTTTTTTTAGTTTCTATTTTTTTGGTTCATAAATATAAATGAATTTAACGTAAAGGGTTAATAAACTCCCCTTTCAATTTATCGATATTCGAATTAATTGAAATGGAATTTCAAACTTGCCACGTACCATCCGGCTTTGGAATGAACTCCCCTCCACGGTGTTTCCGAGCGCTATAACATGTCCTTCTTCAAACGAGGCTTGCGGAGAGTACTTAACGGTAGGCAGCGGCTTGGCTCTGCCCCTGGCATTGCCGACGTTCATGAGCAACGGTGACCACTTACCATCAGGTGGGCCGTATGCTCGTCTGCCTACAATGGCATTAAAAAAAACTTGAATAGAAGGATAGGGAATATTAGTGGTACGTAAGCTGCAAATGTCATAAAAAGATGGTCTTCCGTTATCTGCTTGTTGGCTATTGTGTACTATGCCTTAGGTAGTGAAATTGCATCGCAAATTTTTGGGTAGCCGCGTTGAAGGTCTTGATGAACATGAAGATTAAAAGTGTCAAAGCTGTGGAGTTATACGTTAAAGTTGAACCAAACATTCCTCCAGAGTAGCTTTTCCATCTGAACGTCCAGTCCCTGTACCGAAACCGAATCAGGAAAGAGCAGTAATGGTGGGTAGTGTTAGCGCACACAAGCCATCAGCCCTCTCTGCCGGCGGGTTGTCCAGAGTCTTCCTAGACGAAACCATACCTCTTCTAAATTGTACCACGTGCTTTCTCACTGGATCAGAACCATGTAGGTGTGGATTGGGAAATGGCTGCGACCTTGATGTTGATTTTGAAACAAAACCCTTAAAAGTGGTAATAATTAGCACCAAATAAATTGGCAATCTAATTTTCCTGGATGGAAGTTCCAGTCCTCGTTTCGGCTATTTTTTATC